AAAAAAAAAAAAAAAAAAATAGTCACCCCCCCAATTTCAAACTTGACGAGTTGCTCGTCTACAAACATGGCTACTGACACCACTGTCGCTGAAAAAATTAAATTTCTGATTTAACAATTCAATTGCTAAAAAAAATGACTGCAATATTTCAACGTAGATTTCAAAACACAAAAATGCTACTTTAACTACTATTGTAAGCTAATTTAACGGCGGGGGTGGTTGAAGGAGCATTTTTGTGTTGTGAAATCTACGTTGAAATATTGCAGTCACTTTTTTTTTTAGCAATTTAATTGAAATCAGCAATTTAATTATTTCCGTGTATGCAATGCGAACATCCATCTTACGCGAATAGTTGTATCGCGTTTACACTTTAGATGTCTCTTATTTTTGAATTTCGAGATAAATTAAGGTAAAGTTTGCCTAAGATATGCTATCCCTGGTAAAAGTTGGCGATAGGAGCTGCGTTTCAAACTACCATAGGAGTTCTTATAGCCGACTGAAGAGGGCGATAGAAAATAATATAGCTGACTGTAGATAGTGGAAAAAATTATTCAGCCGGGCTATACCTAGTTCCTATCGCCGGACTTTACACTTTATCGCCGGACTTTACACTTTATCGCCGGACTTTACACTTTATCGCCTGACTGTTGCTTTTTCGCCATCGGCTATAAAAAATTGTGTAGAAATTCTCCTGCTTTGTAAATCCTTAAGTTTGTACAGAATCGCCTTAATATTTACAAAACGCACACTATAGTTTCCTTTACTACATATTTTTTTTCATCAATTAAAATGAGAATAATCCATACAGAGTGTGCAAACATTTCAAAGTCATGAGTTGAAAAACGCTGACTCCGCGAGATTAATTATTAGAGCCTAACACAAAGCGGATAGCGGCGGCGCACTGGCGCCTACAAACCTAACAGGGATACTTCACGCATTGCGCAATGCGTGAAGTATCCCTGTTAGGTTTGTAGGCGCCAATGCGCGTTTCGCGCTGGCTGCCCGCTCGCCGCGCCGCGCCGCAGCGTACCGCGGCGCTTGAAGCAACTATTTCACACCAGAGGTATTGCACAGTATCATACGAAATTGAAGGCACTCCAACATACTAGGAATGGCAGGCATCCTTCAAAAGTACGGAGCTTTCCTCGCAAATTAAATCAAGATACTGCGGCCCAAAAAGAGAGCGGTAGTCCAAAAACTCACTAAGTCCTAGCATCCGTAATTAGTAACGTTTAGCATACACTTTATCGCCAGGCTGTTGCTTAGTCGCCATCGGCTATTAAAGGCTATAAGAAATTGTGTTGCCGGCTATAGAAGCTATTAGAAATCTTACAGCCGGCTGTAGGTCTATGGTATTTTGGAACACAGATTCTACTGCCAATTTTTACCAGGGATGGTGTGTCCAAATCAATAGTCCTTTTGAAAAGGAAATAATATGTTTAAAAGTCTCTCAAAAGGTCTATAAAGGGCGCGTATGGTCTGAGAATCGAACCGACCATTGCTTGTAAGGGAGTTACACTTAGCAAATGTAGGAGGGGGATGATAAAGCTCCTGTATGTCAACAAATGGGGGCAAATTTCACAGAATAGTGTTCACGCTTCAGAAAGTAGTTCTTGAACCTCTGTTCACCACTACCATGCGTAAAAGCACCTCTCTTCACTCCTAACTCTCTTTTCTTCCGTTCATCTGAGAAATTTTCCGCATATATTCTCGGTCGTAATTTCTTTCTCTTCTTATTCTGCTATCTGTCAGAGGGGCGCGCCAAGGGGGCGTATCTGCCAATGGCAGATTGGCCATACGGCCAGTCCGAGCCTGCGAAGGAAGAACGTTCTATCTACTCAATGCCACCGTCAAGGGTATTAAAATTTCAATCTTATTGTTTTGAAGAGTTTTTTTTACATAGAACTCCATTAAACCTTGCCTCCAATAACTAAATTTAACCGGAATTCTTCCGTCAACGGATAGGTTCTTATTAAAAACGCCCAATGATAATCGGTGCGCTCAACGCTATCTACATATTGAGTGAGCTTTTTCCCATGCAGCACCCACTTCCAACGTCCCAGCACTTCTGATCGCAGATTCCAAAATCACTGCTCTATGGAAGAACAAAGTAAACGTCTGAAAGCTTCTCTCGGGGATCTCAATTGGACGTATTTCTATCGAACGGAACTATGTGCATTGAGACATGAGCCATGAGACCCATAAGAATATATGCGGGACATGGATCACGTCATAGTGCACATAGTTCCGCTTGGCAGAAATACGTCCAATTGTGTTGCAATCGACATGCCTCACGTTTAATAAGTGAAGTGCTTGGAGACTCCTGACATCATGCTCTATATTATATGTATATTATATGTATAAATTTTCAGATGTGCTACTAGGGATCGTACGATGCAGGTCTCCCGATGTGTCAAAGTTTCAAAGTCTGTCGCCTTCCTATTTTAAACACTCGATGCATAATCCCTTCTCGAGTGGATCCGGGTTCAAGGGTTTTAATTTACGCTTTGGATTGGACTCAATGCCCAACGAACCAGTCGCCTAAGATTGACGAGCTCCGCCATCCGCGTGGAAATCTATGCCTCGAGCAGTGGCGAGGTGTGCTTCGCGAGATATCGATTGATCTGTCATTTAAACCTATGGAAAAAGATCGATAGACAGGGTGTTCCCCAAGCACCTTAATAATTGATTCTTTACCATAGCCTCGAATGAGAAAATATCGAAAATGGATCATTCACCCCTCGCCACTGACTTCAAGTGCTAGATTAGGGCTTTGGAACGTAAATTAGATAATTTTGCAGTATAGCGCATGTAAGCAGAGTGGTAGTAGTATTAGTAATGGCATACGATTCTTTTCAAGAGGTGCCCCAACATCTGAAACCAGTTACATTCATGGGAGTCGCTTCCGTAGCGCTCTCTGGCGCTTTGCGACTCCTAACCGCCACAGTACCCGGTCCTCCCACAACCCGTCAGGGAGTTGGCACACCCTCCTTTTATATAAAACCCCCTGTCGCCACCCTCTCACTGGGCGTCGCCTTCGTCTCCTCCCAGGAGGAACCCAATCAAGTATCTTCTTCGGCAGCCTCTCTTCCGTCATCCTGTTAACATACTCGTGCCAGACAAGCTGTTTGGCCATGACGTCGAACTTGATGTCATTTTTGACTTGCATGATCGACGCACCCAATCTTTACGAACTCGATCTCTCCTAGGGATTTCAGCGAGATTTTGAACGGCGCGAAATACTATACCCTTAAGTCCCTTCATTTCGTTGGATATGCAATTTTATACTCTCGGTGGTAAAATAGTTGCGCGAGCCCATATTCGAAGTTTTCGGTGATTTTCAGGCGCCGCCGCAGCACACTTTAATCGATAGGCTTAGGACCCCTTGATTATCAGTAAAACCATTAAAACAAGAATTACCAGTATTCATTATATTTTTGCATAAATGTTTTTCATTGGCTTGATAAGAATTGAGCCAGGATAGTTTCAAAAATACTTTCATTACATAACGCAATGTAAATGATTCGTGTTAAAAACCTTAACTAAAGTTATGGGAATAATACGTAATATAATAGTATTAGTAGTCTTTGAATGTAAATTATTAATTTACTCAATCAATTTTGAAAAGTTTCTAAGTCTTGGTAATTTGACATACCTAAGGAGCGATTCTTTACGTAATATCTGGATCTTTGAAAGCATCTGGGCTGAATCCTTATCAAGTCAATTCCTGGTTCCAGGATTTTTTTTAGCTACTCATAATTGAAAGGAAACAAAGTAACCTATTGTAAACATATGCAAGCAATTTTTAAATAAACATATAATACTGATTAACACTGTTTTATTGTCAAACATGGCTGAGCTTCACATAGTTTCATTGCCACCGAATCGGGTAAAAGCTCAATACTTTGTTTTCTTTCTCTAAATCTTTCTCTTTTCAAGTCTTGATCCTCGCACTTGAATCAACAAGATACTCGTGTCACTCGGTGGCGCGGCGTGCTTCGATATGTATCGTGCTTCGATATCGATATGTATCGATATTTCCCCATTTGAAGCTATGATAAAGAATATATTATTAAGGTGTTCGTTGCGAACATTCTGTTTATCGATCCTTTGCTACAGGTTTAAATGGCATAACAATCGATTTATCGTGATTCACGCCACGCCAATGGTGCCACTTTGCTCAATCTGCATACAATGTGCCTAATCGATTTTACATGATCACTCTACGACTTGAAACCATGTCTCCCAAATTACAAAATTCCACGGTGTTTAGCGTTTAAGATTAGACATGCAGGAATTCCTGGAAAAGGAAAAAGAGCCGCAGATGAAAGTTGGGCGAAAGTAAACTAATCGACTTTCGGTTATGGCTCAACTTTCGGCCTTTATGAATCAAAGCAACAGTTATCTCATTCTCAAGTGACTCCTCTTGATCCCAATCTGAGAAGCGTTCTCTAGATCCATCCCAGTTTCCCATTAATTAGTTGTAGTGCTTGAGCGTTCGCCGAACGTATACGTTTGTGTGTGCCTGTTCTGTCTTCCGACCGAACCCGCAACCGATTTCATCATGACATTTTTCGGACGTCTGACAGTTCTCCTCCTTTCGTGGTGTCTGTCCGTTGAATTTAGCTCGCCGCATGGACACGACAGCACAGGTAGCTTCCCTAACTGCATCTTTGAGTATTTACACGAACATGCGCTATCTAATTTTCCCTGTTAACCACTGCTGTTGAAGAGCACTTTCTTCAAAATTGTTAAAACTGTTAAAGTTCGCAAGGAGAGAATCTCTTATTGGTAATTTTTTAATTAAAATTTAAGTCTAGTAAAATGCGCGTAAACGGATTCCAAAGGGGTACCGTATAGTTTGTAAGAGCTGTTTTACACTTCATTTAAACATTTTAAATGTTGAAAATTGGTTCTACAAAACTTCACAGACATTATCCGTAATATAATTCCTTAAGTTTTACTTCTCATAAATATCCTAAAAAATGTACCTTAAAAGAGCGTTCCTCCTCGGCAAATTTTCATAGCTTTTTCAGGACTTGCTTGTTTTCAAAAGGAGTTTTTAAAAGTTTTACTCGTCGTTGCTACCACATATTGTCACCTTCCGGCCATATGCCACAAGCGCCGTGCGAAGTTTAAAGATGTCCGCCGCCGTTTTATTTTTTTTTTTAAGAGAAATTGTTCAACGAAGCTGTCCGCAAATTTTACTGAATTTTCTTTGTGCTGCCGATAAAATTCAGAGCCATTTTCAAACAGATTCAACCAACAATTTCTCTGTAAAAAAATAAAATGGCGGCGGAAATTTTGAAACGTCGCACGGCGCTTGTGATATTTTGGCCGGAAGGTAACGATAAGTCCTTCGTGAAAAAAAAATCGAAAATCCCTGTAAAAAAGTGCTTTGAACTCATTGTGTAGAAAATAGGGTAAATTATGCTTTGGTAAATAAAACCCCTCATGATTACTTGGCACGAAATTAAATGTGCCTCTTGATTTCAGACCGTGCGAGATTTCAGTCGGGTTCTTCGATGCCATCGGTCGGGTTCGGCCAGAAAGATGGGCTCATGGGCCAAGTTCCTCTAACACCGCCTGAAGAATTGGGTGAGTGACTAACACCTTGTTTTTCCGTGCACTATACGCTGTTAAAAATCGAGGAGTAAAATTCGGTGCCTAAGTCTAAACGGCACCCAAAAACCCCGAGTGATATACTGCATGCTAAGGAAGAATGCCGTATTAACCTCCAGGCGTTGCCAAATTTCCTCTGATAAAATACGAATTCATTGAGGAAATTTGTAATATTTTTCTTCTGATTTTTCAGACTATTTTGTTCGCAATTTATTTTAAATATCTGAAAATTTAAGGAAAAATATAGACAAATTTCGTCAAAAATACATGTTTTATCCGAGGAAATTTGGCAACTCTCGAGTGTTCATACGGCGTTCTTCCTTAGCATAGCAGTGAAGATGCGAAGTGAAATTAGTACCATAGAAGCGCGTGACACTCTGCAAAAAGAGTAGATTCCGCTCCGTACTTGAGTAGCATTTTTCGACGGAAAAATCGTGATATTTTGAAATTGGGTTGGTATTTCTTTGCGATTAATTGGTAGGATTATAAACATCGGAGCGATTATCCCCAATATTGTCGCAATGCGTAATCTCTATAAAATTGAATTCGATTAAAGCGAAACTTAATCTCAAATCATCACGATCTTTTGTTCGATAACAGAGCAAAAGTGCGAGAAATTGTCGTTTATAAAATTGCGATGAAATCGCAAATAAGTACAAGGGCCGAATATGTTTTGAAACACCTCACTTGAAATGCTCACTTTTCGATTCTGACAACTTATATAAACTACGGCCTTCCGAAATTTCAGAAGCTTCGATAACCGTAAAGCTGCGACCAGAAAATGGCTGGTAAGCATGTTCTTTCACAATGTCTTATTAAGAAATTAGTCATGAGAGGAAAGTAACCTGTGCCTGCATGCAGACTAATAATATTTACATGTAATTGTCCGCTCCTTCTATCTTGCGTCAGATTTTGTAATGTGTATCAAAATTGCACTGGATTAAAGACTGAAACAATTCAAGTACCATTGAGAGGCTCCTGTAAACAATTTAAGATAGTAACATTTCGATGAGAATACTAATTGAAAAGATGGAAAATGACCATTTTTATTTTCATATTTATACTCTTACATAGAGGATAACGACCTCTACTTCATTGCCTCTTCGTGTGCTCTCTTCGCTTCTGCAAAAAGTTGAAGATAAGAACGTTTTCCTCAGATGATATGAGGAGGAAACCCAGCAAAACGATGAAAAGACAGTTTTTTTCCCCCAATTTAATATTCACACTTACAGTGGGAACGAATTTCACTCCGTTTTCTCTTTTATAAATATCATCAGTGTGGACATGATCAAAGCATGTATGTTTCTAAGTGCCCATTATCCCGATGCCCTTAGCGACCTTAGTGATCGTGACCGCGCGTAGCGCCTTCAGTTTCCCGTGTATGCAACACGGACATTCACCGAGTACGAATAGTTGTAGGTGTCAAGGCGTTGGAAGAATTTGATGACGGAAAGTTAGAGAACGAGCATTTCCATCTGTGACATCGCAAATCTTCTCATTTTATGTTATTTCAATGAGATCTGAAAATTGTTCATTGGAATGTTTACAGGCCTATCTTCATCCTGTATAGAATATTTTGTGAAAATTAATGATGATATTGATCATTTATTTTTCATTTAAAGAAAATAATGAAAAGGAAAAAAAGGCTAGTAATTATTTGAGAGGCGTGGAGGACAAGGTGCATGAAGGCAGTGTGAACATATTCGGAAAGCGTGTGTTCAAAGTTTCAAAATTACACGAAGTCTACTGACGAAATCACATTTGGATGCATAAAAATTCGATTTTACGAATAAATTTTTCACATCGTATGTTTCCAGACTTTGTTCCCGGATATTCCGAGCTAGTAAAGGCTATTGACGGATCCAGCGATATGGTAACACCGGATTTCCTCCATTTAAACCTATGGAAATGTATCGATTCTTAGAGGGGCCAGATGCTCCGACAAGAATCAATTACCTAACATAGGTTTAAATGGAAAAAACCCGGTGTTGCCAAATTGTCAGATCCTACTGCATTACAACATAGCGATGCTCAGCGAAACATCTTTAAAGTTGCACTCAATCATATTTTCAGACGCATCATACTGGATGGATTCAGCGCGGAAAACCTTGGACATGAACCTTCGCCTGGAACCGAACAAGAATCGGGCGAAAAATGTGATTCTGTTTATGGGCGATGGGATGTCAATGCCGACCGTGGCAGCGGCAAGGATCCTCAAGGGCCAGCTAAACAACAAACCCGGTGAAGAGACAAGACTAGTTTTCGAGGACTTTCCTAGCGTTGGCTTGGCCAAGGTAAGCACACGAATCGGAGTGTTTTTCTATAAAAACGAAAAATATTTAAATATTTAAGGTGATTCGTCAAGCTCAATACTGACGTGGTCGAACTGGCATGCGATAAACCGCATTGATTAGATAAAAAATGTAGGTATAGGTGTATAAATGTATGATGATAGATGCACATGTTATCTGTTTCTTGAAAAATGTAAACATAAACTCAAACTTGGTTTTGGTAGTAACATCGGAAAACGGTGCTGCCAAAATGTCGCTCTTTTTACCGTAAGATGAGGCTGAGCGACGGCGTTACAAAACACTTTAAAGTTGCGAGAAAAAAAACAAAACGGAGGTAAACCCCATATATTTCCAAAAACTAGAAGTATTAAGGAGTCCAAAACTAAATATTGTTGGGTCGCATTAGAGGGAAAAAAAAAGAGTTCCCCCTGGACTACCTAGGTGTGGAATGACCCTTAACTTCTCTCCCGGATCTGAGCGACATGCCGTTGGCAGAACAGAGCGGAGCATTGCGAGTTCACGTCACGCGTTATCGCGCCTTCAATTTTGCAGACGCAACACGGACATCCACCGAGTACGAATAGTTGTATCTCTGCGCCGTCATCGATGCGCCTCCTTTTCTTTCCTCTTTCTCCAAGTTGTGATGGCTCCAATTGTCTATGAATGGAGTTGCTTCAAGGACTGCGTGAGCAACATAACTGAAGATAGGAGAGACGTAATCGAGCATCATTTTTTAACTTTTCTCCCGAATCCATGGCGCCTTCAATTTTGCAGACACGGACACCAGCGGGCCGATTATTGAAAGTTTAAATCAGGCCGATAAGACATCAAAATGTGATATATTGCATGGTAAAGATAAGGCTATGTCTTGTCTTGTCGTGCTGACATAGTTTCAATAATCGGCCCGCTGTCAAGCACAAGATAGTGCTAGAGTTTTCCGTCGAGATCCAAGAATCCGATTTTTGAGTCTCATATCGATATGGTTAAAATCGAAAACTGTGTATCTCCAATCGCTAAATAGAAAATTCTACGCTTCTTCTATTTTGGTGGAAAACCCCGACTCGCTGTTTTTTTTTCCTTTCAATTTTCTACGAATTTTTTTCACTTTCTCAAATATACTCGTAAAAAATTTTAAAAGGATGTTTTTTCGCTTAGTTTCTTTCTAGAGAACTAAATCATATGATAGAACATTTTTCATACGTTGCAAAGGAGATGCGCATTTTGCGGATTCAGCCATCGTTATATCAGCAATGCAACAAAACGAGTGATATAGGGTGCATTACCTACAAGGTAAAATTGCTTCCACTGCATAGGCGCGTTATGTACGTATGTTGCCAATCTGTTAATTGAAGGAGCATTTCTTTTCTCAATTTATTGTGATAAAATGAAACAAGTTGCAATTTCCTTCTGCATCGGAAATCACTCATCGACATTGAAATCACCAGACCACGGATCTCGGTTTGCGACGTCGTAGATTTCCTGTCATTTTTCATTTTTGGACAGGATAACTACTCGACGTCGATTCTTGGCGTAATTTTTCTTCTCGGTGCGAAGAAAACTCTGTAAAGACTTCGAGGAATGATATATTGATTTACTCGCTTTCAAAAAAACCAAATCAGAACGGAGATTTTGAGAAACCACAAACGAAACAAGTAGTCTCGTAGTTTCACCGTAGTTTTCTTCCTGGCACTCATTCTAAAAATACTAGAGCAACGGTGAAAAAAAGTCGATTTAATGACAGAACAATTGCAACATTGTTTTAATATTTTCGTTGCCCCATGGGACCGTTCCTAAATTACGTAACACAGTTTTCCGGCATTTTTGACCCCCTCCATCTTGTAACGTTTTGTGACGTAGGCCCTCATCCTTTAACAATAAAAGCAAAATGGGGTAACACTCTCCTCAACCCCCACCCCCTCCTTCTCCCTAGAGCGTTACGTAATTTAGGAATAACTATGTCATTTGGGAGACTTATGAAATTCTAGGGGTGCTCTGATGAGATCTTTTGATATGTATTTTGGAGTGTGTGAATTTCTTTGAATTTTTTTTTGTTGGCAGACATATTGCACGGACTCGCAGGTGGCTGATTCGGCATGTTCCTCGACTGCCTACCATTGCGGCGTCAAAGGGGCTTACTACACGGTCGGGCTCAACGGTCGCGCTCGGCGGGGTGATTGTCGAGCTGCTATCAACGAATCCAACCACGTCACTTCAATAAGTAAGACCAAATCTCATTTCAACTTTATTGATCCGCTTTAAGCAAAGAAGAAAAGCGCACTGAAGAAAATCGCTCCGATTTCGGCGAAAAATTCAAGTTTTCCTGCATTCTAAACGAATGCCGAAGATCCGCATTTTTCGTCAAAATTGGCCTTCGGACCCATGTTTAAGCCAGTATTGGACCCGAAAAGAGACAAAAATGACCAGATCATGCCATGCATTCCGTATAAATAGGCCTTCAGTGAGCAAAAAATCGTTGAGTCGAGGAAATTCGGGTCGGCCCAAAAGTGACCTTTATCGATACTCCTCCTTTGCAGAATAGTTTCCTCATAAATCTGACAGTTTTTGCCAGAAAAAACTAAAAGACTTTAGCCTCGCAGCCTTGTGCGGAAGGGTTGGGTGGAATAACTTCTCTTGCTAATTAAGGGTTCAGGTTCACCTGTGCCGTAGTATTGATTTTGAAGCGGTAAGCAGAAAAAACGCATTTTTCTTACGCAGATTGTAAAAATTGATGAGTAAAAAATCGTGAAGTTGAGGAAATTCAGCGAGGGCTCAAAAATGGCCTTCATTGATACCTCGCCTTTCATTATTAAAAAAAAAAAAAAAAAAAAAAAAAAAAAAAAAAAAAAACGGATTAAGTTGTTTCAAAAGCAAAGGAAACGTTGCACGATTTTGGCAAGACTACAATGAGCCAGCAGACAAGGAAAGAGAACTGCGTAACATGTTTCCTCTTGATATTATCAACGGATAGTGTAATGGATTCGAAGGGGCACTTGGTCGCTCCTCTGACTAGAGGGCGTATCTCCATTAGCACGTGAGCCCTGATCTCCAAATAATTCTATGCTTTCCGAGGCTCATGCTGAATGCTGATACGCCTTTACGTCAGAGGAGCGACGACTTGACCCCTCGACCCCCTCGTTTAGCCAGAACCCTGGTTCTTTATTTAAAAATCCATCAATTTTGACCTTTTTTCGCAGATCAGTGGGCCCAAGACGCGGGAAAATGGACAGGAAGCGTAACAACAACGAGAATTACGCATGCATCGCCATCGGGTGGTTACGCACACTCAGCAGACAGGGAATGGGAAACTGATTCGGCCATCCCAGCGGGCTGCAGTGCCAAGGACATCGCACACCAACTTGTGTACAACGCACCAGGAAAGGATATGCGGGTAAGAACATGATTCCACATCATGGTGCGCATTCGATCCACATGAATCATTCGAAAAATAAAAAAGTGAACCGGTCCGCGTCATGCGATCGACTTGATACGAACGACACCGATTCGATCGACAACCGAGGATCGATCGACAAATTTGTGACTCGATCGAAAAATTCGTGACTCGATCCACAACTCCATGAATCGGTCGAAAAAACCCGTGAATCGATTGACAATCCCGTGACTTGATTGACAACTCCATGCTTTGATTGACAAACCCGCGAATCGATCGAATTGGTGTCGATCGAATGACGTCAATCAATTCATGTTTTTATTTTTCGATTGGATCCATACCCTCCCGATAGTGCGTTTGATGGTTTCTAACAAAAGAGAGTAAGCCCTTTAAAAATAGAGACAAAAATCGATTAGTCCATTGGAAGAAAAAGTTCAATCAAAAACAGCGAAATAAGTCCCAAAACACGGTATTTCACGGTACCTTTAGAGAAAGAGTAACTGGTTAACACGGCGACCACTGGGAACCAAAATAAACCGGCGGTGATTCCAGGTAGAAGGGGATTGTTGTCGACATTTCACACGTAGTATATCTCCTTCTCATAGCGACCTTCTGATGACAAATAAGCGCTTCACTATAGTGTTAAGATTGCAGATCGAGCGCGCCTTCAAATCGTCGTATACGCAACATATACATCTTCAAAGCACGAATAGTTGTATCAAGACGTTTGGCATTGACAAATGGACTACATTTTGCAATTAATTTGGAACTATAAATTCTAGCCCGGTTTAAAAACAACGTATGTGCCAGTTTCCCTGTGCACATGAGTGTTTTTCCAGAAGAGCCAGAATTTATAGTTCCAAATTGCAAAATGCAGTCCAATTGTGCACTATCGAGATTTTCGGCCGATGACAATGAATGAAAACTGTGTACTAGATGAATTGACGCGTAAACCACGGACCTCGATTGCGGTGTTTTTTTAAATTTCGTTTCATATTTTGATGTTTCTAAGAAACGTGAGCCAAATTTCCTTTGTGAATTTTTTAACAGAATTCTCTGTCAAATAAAGATCTAACATAGATACTTTGTGTAGAGCAGCTCGAGACAAAGGTAACAGTAGAAAAACAAGGGGGGAAAACGGGAAACGAGGCTAAAATACACAATTTAAGAAAAACCGAGACGTTTCAACTCAAAACTGAGTCATTTTCAGTCGGGAATGTTACAATAATAATTTAAAAAAAACGATGCAAAACCTGAGCCCTACATGGTGGTGGCCGGAATTTGAGGAAAATGATTACAAGCCACATCTATGCCGCCATCGTTGACCGAAAATGATCGACACTGAACGTCTCGGTTTTTTTTTTTTTTTTTTTTTTTTTTTTGTGTATTTTAGCATTGTTTCCCGTTTTCCCCCCTTGTTTTTCTACTGTAAGGATCTAACTGGACGTGGCTCACGGGCTTAAATTTGTCTCAACTAGATATTTTTTGCGTCTTAGGTTTTACTAGGTGGAGGACGCAAACATTTCCTGACCAACGCTACTGATTTCAACGGAACGCGGACGGATGGGCAGAACCTCATCACGAAATGGAAGGAAGGAAAGGCAGGACAAAAAGCTACGTATGTTCAAGACAGAGCAGGACTGATGGCGATCAATCCGGCAGAAACAGATTACTTACTCGGTAATTATTCATGTAGATTATGTGGTGATTTCTTCCATATTTTTCGGGCCAAAATCCAGGATAAGCCCGCTGCGCTAGAAAACATAACGACGGTGCAAGTCGGCAATCACATAACTCGTTTGCGGTGTCTAAAAATCTCCGCAACTATGTTATTTTTTTAAAGGAGAACAAATGGACATGATTCCTTAAAGTTTTTGCAGAATTTTCCTCGCACATAGAAGAAAAATCACGGCAGTTTTAAAGAATTACCGTTGAGTAGTTTTCCGTTTAAAAAATAAAGTATGACAGGAAGTCTGCGACGTCGCAAACCGAGTTATGTGATTGCCGACTTTCACCGTCGATAAGCGGATTTAGACACCACGAACGGAGGAGGGTGAAACGGGGGTCCGGGGAGCCTCCCCAGAAAATTTTCGAAATTTGAAAGCATCTTAGATGCGCTTTGAATCAATTTTTTTCATGAATAAGTACCAAATATGAGCGCCGGCCTTTCTTCCCTTCTTCTCCTCCGTTTCTTCCTTTTTGTTCTAACGAAAGGGGGGAGGGGAGGGGGGTAAGCCCTCTATGCCCGCCTCCCGCCTCCTCCTAGATCCGCCTATACTGCCGTGCAATGCAAAAACGCCGTAAACACCGTTTTAAATGTTTGGAAACAATGTATCATAGCAGAAGAACTTGTGTACCTTGGGACAATGTTTTTACAGAATTCTTTTGCAAATACTATCAAGACCTTAACCTGAAAATTCGAGGTGCATGGGTAAAACAGTTTTTATTTTATAAAGTGTTAAGTTCCAAAAACCGCGAGAAAATCTTGATGGATTTACGGCGTTCTTGCTTAGCACGGCAGTATAGCCCGTGCATCACTATCAAACGAACTCATCAAATGCAAGATGGCGGAGATGTGTACTGGTTTTTGCGCGTGTCCGCTATCAAAAGTTGGCGGGCCGTCAAATGTTGATGAACAATCGCCATCTTGCATTTGATGAGTTCATTTGAGAGCGAGACACGGGCTTAAGCTGAAAAAAATGTCGCGCAATGCTTTTTTTTTATCGTTTCTTACACCTCATTAGCTCGGCTGTCATCGTGATTGCCGGGAGACTTGAACGCAAAATTAAGAAAAACTCCGACGATTTTACCGTAATGGGTTGGATCCTACGCAGCTTTATTTTGAGCTTCAGATTGAACATTCACTGCACTGCCGTGCTACGGAAAAACGCCGTATGATCATTCGAGAGTTGCCAAATTTCCTTCGATAAAATGTTTATTTTTGAGAAAAATTAGGAATATTTTCCCTTGAAATTTTCAGGAACTTTAGGTGAAATTGCGAACAAAATCATCTGAAATATCGGGAGAAAAATATTCACAAATTCTTCCGAAAATTCGTGATTTCCTAAAGACGATTTGGTAACGCCGCTTGATGGCTCATACGGCGTTTTTCCTTAACGCGGCAGTGCAGTCAGTTCGAATCTAGCGGCTTGCGCCTGATTTATAACGAGGCTGCAAGTGTTCAACCTACAGATCTAATCAATGTAACCCAAAGCAAAACGAACTAAAGGATATTCGCCGCACGTTTAGGTTACTTTTGCTTTCTTTATCAGTAACGACTTTAAAAGTTGGCAACACTAGCTGTTGTTCCGCTATTCGAATTCATTAAAAGTATCGATTTTAGGTAGGGCAAGTTGCCTCACCAAGAATTTCCCAAGTTTTAAAATGTTGCCTCTTCATAATTATCAAAAAATCTCTCAGAATGACGAATAGTTTTGGTTTCCCACCATTGAATAGGTAATTTTAAAGGGAAAATAAACGTCTAAATTTGAATACTGTACAAATATTCAGTATTTTTAAAAGAAAGGAGAATTTGCACGATTTTGATAACGCTGTAATAGCGCTGGTTCCTTTACGCTGAATGCAATTCAAATGTTTCTGTTCCCAAAGAACTTCGTTAAACGTGAATTTGATTATATTTTGCATGAAGGAACCACTATCCCTGGCTCTCCCATAAGAGCAAATATCTGCATGGGGAAATCAATGGTATGTATGTTATATTTCTAAAATAGATCAAAAATAGTGGTTCCTTGTTGGCGTTGCTAGGAATCCTTGGGAGGGGGGGGGGGGGTCCATTCAAAAACGTGACGGTAAATTTACATTATTTTATGTTCGTCTCTAATATTATTATATCTCTGCCCTCCAAAAGTAAAAAAAGGGTACAATTAACGAGGCTTGGGCGGGGGGAGTGTCCAGACCCCTCGGACCCCCCCCCCCCCTCTGTCTACGCCACTGGCAAAATGTAATGAAATTTTTCCCGGTGACCAGGCCTGTTCAGGATGGACCACATGAGCTACTACGTGGACGCGGACCACACGGAGGAACCAAGCCTGGAGGAGATGACGGAGAAGGCCATCCAGATCCTGGAACGAAACCCGGAAGGGTTCTTCCTCTTCGTCGAGGGCGGGAAGATCGACCTGGCGCACCACGACAACCTGGCCCACAAGGCCCTCGTCGAGACGATCGAGTTCGAGAAGGCCGTCGTGAAGGCCCTCAAGATGACGAGCGTGGAGGACACCCTCGTGGTCGTGACCTCGGACCACTCGCACTCCTTCACGATGAACGGGTACCCGAAGCGCGGCAACTCCATCTTCGGCTTCTCGGACGAGCTCTCCGACCTGGACTGGAAGCCCTACTCCACGCTCAGCTACGCCAACGGACCCGCCAAGACCAAGTACGAGGACCCCGTCGCTCACACCCGCTACAATCTCACCAACGACGATACCGGTGAGTTTTTTTCATTAGTGGGGCCTTCATAAGGCAAAGTTTCGCCAGTGGATTTCCTCGATTTCTTCAACGAGATCGGCACCCTCGTAGCAGTGGCTCTTGAGAAAAGTTGTAAAAAACTCGAAAATTTTAAGAGAACTTAAGATTTACTTCAAACCCATTTGAAAATTACGTAAAAAAAACTCTTAAAATATTCGTATCAGGAAACCCTTTTTGGGGTTTTTTTTACATAAAATTGAAGAAAAATTTTAAGTAAATTGTAAGATTTACGTATTTTTTTCTTTTTTTCATAAACTTTCTGCGGGCAAAAACGAGGAGAAAAAAGTGGTGAACAGAAAAGAGTAAAAGGAAAAGTTGCAGCCCTTAAAATTGAGGATATAGTTTGTTGTTTTTCACGCAAATTTTACGTTTTCTTACAAATAAAATAACACTATTTTTTTATTTAAAAGAATTCCCCAAAAGGGTTTCTTAAAACGAGTATTTAAAGAATTTTTTTACTTAAAATTTACGAACTCTTAAAATTTACAAGTTTTTACATTTTTTTGACAACTTTTTGTAGAATTTTTTTAAGAGCCATTGCTACTAGGGCAGAGTTACAAACCAAAGGAGAAAAACGCTCTGATACTGTCAAGAATTAAACTTAGCTGCTTGATGAATTTTGGCCACAGTTTTCATCCATCAACTTTTCAACCCACCTTGGGAGGTGGGTCGAGAACTTTGGATGTGGTTGTCATTGCTGCCAGCATGAGAACCAAATGTTGTAAGCACACCATCGCCCAGAGGGAATTTCGTTTTATTGTAACTGAGGTTGGTAGTGGTTACAAATTTTGACCAAACCCACTCGTGAAAATGTTTTTCACTGTTCCAGGGTTGCCATAATTTCTTAATCTTCAAATTCCCTGATTTTTCCCTTCAAACTTTGACCTTCGGACGAACTTCCCACCACCTTTTTTTTTTCTTAAAATACGCTGCTTTTGGTTAAACTTCGGGAAAAAATGTCTTTGATTAGAGGTCAGATGATAGATAAAGGCATTCGGGGGGGGGGGGGTAAAAGATGACAAGCCTCTAAATGAACCGCGTTTAGTAGAAAGGAACTAAGCCACATCAGCTTTTGCCCGCCGGGCAGTTTCATCTTTTACAAGATTACGTTAGTGCAGATTCCTTGTAATTTTCAAGGAATTTGCTTCGTACAATGTAAAAAGTTCACTGAAAGTACAAAATTCCGCACAACCCTTTTCATGTGCAACACTGAATTGCCTGATTAAATTTGGCAATAGCTGCTACGGCTTAGTTCCTTTCTGCTTAAAACGGTCCAAATAGTATGATAATAGTATCTACAAGACTGTCTGTAACAGAGAAATTCAGGAGCTGCTATTGAAGGTCCATAAAAGCCAAAATCAGACGTTTACACTGAACGATTGATTGATTTAATTCATGAGAATCCAAATATAAATTGGGGTCAATGCCAATCCATTTGGCCAAGAAACAGCTGACTCCCAAAGTAGCATTTTTCAACGGAAAAATCAGGATATATTGCAATTTTATCGGCGATAAAATCGCTAGGACCATCAACATCTGAGCGATTATCCTCGATTTTATCGCCCGGCAATTTATCGCGATAAATGGCGATTTAATCTCGATTTCATCGACGAAAATTGATCGCGACTTTATCGAATAAAAATTGCAATGTGTAGCGATTCAATCGCCATATAGCGAAATTTTTAGTGCAATAATATCTCGATACATTGCCACCGATAAAATCGCTATTTATCGCGATCACTGCTATTTGGGTGTGGGCTACTACAATGAGCGTGCGCAATTCCTGGACACGCCTCCCACTTCTACAGAAAATGTCTGTTTGTCAGTTTAACTAGTGATTAATTAATCGTAATAAAAATCAATATTGAAAAAACCCATATTGATAAATTAAAAGTTAAAAATGATTATTCATCTCCTCATAAAGAATATTTAATTTTACCTACTTCTTGCTTTTTTAAATTTAAATTAAATAATGATATAGTAACTAATGATACAGTACTAGTATGCAACTAATGATATAGTAATTTCTTTTAATTTTTCAGCAAATCCACAATACGAATTCTCGGCGATGGTTCCGATGGTCTGGGAAACACACGGTGGTGATGATATAGGCGTCTACGCTGTTGGGCCCTGGGCTCATCTGCTTGACAGGCAGTTTGAACAAAACTACATTGCAATAGTTATGGCTCATGCTGCCAGCATACTGCCATCCGATACGTCATCATCTACTTCGTCCTTACAATTGTCGTTATTTTCTGTAGTTTTTGGCTCAATATTCGTGTTTTTATCTGTGATGATAAGTTAAGTTAATAGGATAGATACTTTAAGTTAAGGCAAAATTAAACTAAAATATATAACAACCGTGGTTTTCTGCTCAGTGGCGAGGCTTTAATAATCGATTATCGATATTTCGCAATTTGTAGCTGTGGTAAAGAATCGATTATTAAGGTGTCCGTTGTAAACACCCCGTTTATCGATCCTTTTCTATAGGTTTAAATGGCAGATCAATCGATACATGGCATAATATACGCCACGCCACTGTTTTTGCTCCTTGTTGGCTCATACTTAACACACACCTAGCTTCCAAATCGAACTATTTCAATATTGAAAATTTAACTTCAAATTGAGATTCGTAAAGGAATCTAATTATTTGAACCTAAATAAAAGATTAATCGAAACTCTGTCGATTTGCCTGGGGAAAGACTAAACCACCGGCCTGGTTCTGTAAAAAACAATGAAGTGACTTTCATGATGAAAGAAATAATAGTGGAGATTTTGAAACTTTGCAATTTGGACAGTGATATTCTGACTCTCACTATGGAGTAGTTGGCTAAGCACAACCAGAGTGTTATCTAACATCCTTCCAAAAAAATTGAGTGCATGCTTTTTGGGTGCTTTCGTAATGACTTAAATTAAGTACCCTGCTCTTCTTGACTAATTTTTTTTTTCTAGACTTTTTGCTGTTGATCGTGATAAATAGCTATTTTATCGATTGGTTATCGTGATTATATCGGTGGCAATATATCGAGTTATTATCGCATTGAAAATGGCGATGTATGGCGGTGATTAAATCGCTACACATCGCAATTTTTGGTTCGATGAATTTTTAATCAATTTTCGTCGATAAAATCGAGATTTTGTCGCGATAAGATCGAGATTTTATCGCGATAAGATCGAGGATAATCGCTCAGACGTTGATGATCCTGGTAATTTTATCGCCGATAAAATCGCAAGCGACTTTTCCGTTGAGAAATGCGACTTGGGTATACGGTCGATTATTTTCCGGCTGATTCCGACGGATTCTTCTAAAAAAAGAAAAATTCGAGAACTGTCTACATTCAATTGAAATTTGTGCACTTTTTGGGCCCTTCTCGACCTACCTACATCAAGAAAAAAAAACAACAGGATTTCCTTTTCGGCACTCGCTTTTTATTTGCCGACCATTTTAGATGACGCGAAAAATAAAATTTGAAAAAAAAAAGGAAAAAAAATTAAATTAAATTAAATTTGTCGCAAAGACGTATTTTCTCTTGAATCAAGAATTCTGCTCATAATCTGCTTATTACAATCCATACATATGCTAAATTCAATATTTTCATTCATGTATCAAGAAAAATTTACCTTAAATAAAGATAAAAAAAATTCTTGGCTCTTGGCGGCCAAATCAAGAATCATCATGTTTTGTCCCTGTATTTTTCTCGAACTTGTCTGATGATGATTCTGGGTGTCCATACTCAATATAAAATCATTCAAATTGGATGAACGAATGAAATTAATGAAACGACAGTTCTGCTCCGAATTTACGCGACTCGCGAATTAGTGACGATGCGGCGATTCGGGAACATTCCAGAAAATTTCCCCCTTTGATTTTCTCAAAATTTTCCAAGTATGAATCTGGGTGTGCATACTCAATATCTTATGTGTCGAGGGAGATGAACACTTGAAATTTTGAAAACCTCAGAGCCTGCCCTGAATTTACGCGACTCGCGAATTAAGGATGATGGAGCAATTCAACAACATTGCATGAAATTTCCCCTAGGATTTATTCGAAATTTTCAGAGGATGGTCTTCGATGTCCATCCTTAATAAATATAATCCGTCAAATCGGATGAACAAATGAAATTGATGAAACGACAGAGCCTGCTCCGAATTTACGCGACTCGACTCGTATGGTTGATGGATGCGGCAACATTCTTTGAGATTTTCCTCTTGGATTTTCCCGACATGTTCCAAGGATGATTCCGGTTGTGCATATACTCAATATCTTATGTGTCAAAGGGGATGCACAAATGAAAATTTGAAAACCTCAGAGCCTGCCCTGAATTTACGCGACTCGCGAATTATGGATGATGGAGTCATTCGACAACATTGCATGTAATTTCCAATTTGGATTTTCTTAAATTTTACCGAGGATGGTGCTGAGCGTCCATACTCAATTTCCAATGTGTCAAATGTGATGACGAAATGAAATTGTGATAAACTCAGAGCCTGCTCCGAATTTACACGACTTGTCGCGTATGGATGATGGATATGGCAACATTGCTTGAGATTTCCCCCTTGCATTTTCTCCAAATGTATCAAGGATGATTCCGGGTGTGCATATTCTCAATATCTTATGTGTCAAAGGGGATGCACAAATGAAAATTTGAAAACCTCAGAGCCTGCCCTGAATTTACGCGACTCGCGAATTATGGATGATGGAGCCATTCGACAACATTGCATGTAATTTCCCATTTGGATTTTCTTAAAATTTACCGAGGATGGTGCTGAGCGTCCATACTCAATTTCCAATGTGTCAAATGTGATGACGAAATGAAATTGTGATAAACTCAGAGCCTGCTCCGAATTTACACGACTTGTCGCGCCGCGGACCAAATTATGAGGCCCAGCCTGTATTTTTCCGAGTGTGTGTGTGCGCCAGGTGTCCCTTTGACGAGCCGCGGAATGTTGCATCTGATCAATGAGTGCGAGAGAGATGGACGATACAAGGGCGGCTTGGCAAAGCCGAGTGGTCTCCTTTGACGTGCCGAATCTGCCTAATGAGTGCGAGAGAGAGAGACGACCAAAGAGCGTATAGACCAATCCAAGATGAGCCCTGCTCCCCGTTTACGGCCGTGCTTTCCCTGGCTCACGCTCGAAAAGCACTTGGGTGCTTTTGCCGGCAACGGAATTCCCCAGCGCACTACCACCGCGGACCAAATTACGAGGCAGAGCCTGTATTTTTGCGAGTGTGTGTGTGCGCCAGGTGTCCCTTTGACGAGCCGCGGAATGTTGCATTTGATCAATGAGTGCGAGAGAGATGGACGATACAAGGGCGGCTTGGCAAAGCCGAGTGGTCTCCTTTGACGTGCCGAATCTGCCCAATGAGTGCGAGAGAGAGAGAGAACACAAAACAATGTATCGACCAATCCAAGATGAGCCCTGCTCCTCGTTTACGCCCGTTCTTTCCCGGGCTCACGCTCGCAGAGCACTTGGGTGCTTTTGCTGGCAACGGAATTACCCAGCGCACTACCACCACGGACCCAATTACGAGGCCCAGCCTGTATATTTGCGAGTGTGTGTGTGCGCCAGGTGTCCCTTTGACGAGCCGCGGAATGTTGCATCTGATCAATGAGTGCGAGAGAGATGGACGATACAAGGGCGGCTTGGCAAAGCCGAGTGGTCTCCTTTGACGCGCCGAATCTGCCTAATGATTGCGAGAGAGAGAGACGACCAAACAGCGTATAGACCAATCCAAGATGAGCCCTGCTCCCCGTTTACGGCCGTGCTTTCCCTGGCTCACGCTCGGAAAGCACTTGGGTGCTTTTGCCGGCAACGGAATTCCCCAGCGCACTACCACCGCGGACCAAATTACGAGGCCCAGCCTGTATATTTGCGAGTGTGTGTGTGCGCCAGGTGTCCCTTTGACGAGCCGCGGAATGTTGCATCTGATCAATGAGTGCGAGAGAGATGGGCGATACAAGGGCGGCTTGGCAAAGCCGAGTGGTCTCCTTTGACGTGCCGCATCTGCCCAATGAGTGCGAGAGAGAGAGAACACAAAACAATGTATCGACCAATCCAAGATGAGCCCTGCTCCCCGTTTACGGCCGTTCTTTCCCGGGCTCACGCTCGGAAAGTACTTGGGTGCCTTTGCTGGCAACGGAATTCCCCAGCGCACTACCACCGCGGACCAAATTACGAAGCCTAGCCTGTTTTTTTGCGAGTGTGTGTTTGCGCCAGGTGTCCCTTTGACGAGCCGCGGAATGTTGCATTTGATCAATGAGTGCGAGAGAGATGGGCAATACAAGGGCGGCTTGGCAAAGCCGAGTGGTCTCCTTTGACGTGCCGCATCTGCCCAATGAGTGCGAGAGAGAGAGACGACAAGTCAGCGTATCGACCACAACAAGATGAGCCCTGCTCCCCGATTACGGCCGTTCTTTCCCGGGCTCACGCTCGGAAAGCACTTGGGTGCTTTTGCCGGCAACGGAATTTCCCAGCGGGCTACCACCGCGGACCGGTGTGCCCCGAGTTTGGGTCGCTTTTTCGATACATTTTCGATCCAAAATGGCGGTGTGGAATACGTGGTAATTCCTATCTCCTCTGTTGTTGTTGATGTCATCGGATGGCCGGGTACCCGTGTATCGCAAACAATCGGTTATGTATCGAAAAAGTGACCCGGCGTCACACAGGAGTCTCGGAAATCGGGACATGGAAAATGCTTAAAAGTGGCGCCAGCTCTCCCACTTACATTACGACTCTATGTACTCTATGCCTTGTAGTGGCGTGGCGTGAATTACGATGTATCGATTTTTCTGCCATTTGATCCTATGGTAAAGAATCGATTATATTGAGGTGTCCGCTGCGAACACCCTGTTTATCGATCCTTTTCCGTAGGTTTAAATGGCATTCCAATCTATACATCTTAAAGCACGCCACGCCATTGAGGCTTAAGTGCGAAACCATGCATATCCAATGCGGTATTGAAAATGTCTTCGAATCTTATTTTCTCTTGGGCTAATTCCTGCTAAACGGTTTTCTGCTAAACGGTGCTAACTGGATTTTGAGAAATAACCAAAAAATGAGCGCGTCCTATATCGACAGTGTAGGTCGGCAATCACATAACTCGGTTTGCGACGTCGCAGACTTCCTATCATATTTGTTTTTTAGAACGGATAACTAGGTATTCAACAGCAATTCTTTAAAATTGTCGTGATTTTTCTTTTTTATGCGAAGAAAATTCTGCAGAAATTTCAAGAGATGATATCAATGTGTTCTCTTCTAAAAAAATAACATAGAGGCGGAGATTTTCAGACACCGCAAACGAGTTATGAGATTGCCGACTTACACCGTCGATATACTTCGGAAGCGCGAGGCAACTATTCGACCACCCGAGTGTGGCACAGTATCACTCGAAATTGAAGGCGACCTTAACGCACCGACTCGTTAGACCAATTCCTGCAACGGCTAAAGGCGCTGACTTTTAAAGATAATAAATTTTTACACAACATTCTGCTAATAGAGAAGGAACGCCCTTGCTTTGTTGTTCTTCCAGTAGAGAAGAGAGTCTCCCCAAGAATATGTAGTTCTTTTCATTAATCCTAGAGCGGAATTTTCCAAAACGAGGATTAATGTTTTTTTGTGAAGATTAATAAGACTTTCTTAAAAAATGCTAATTGTCATGAGTTTTATCTATCAATTCATGAGTTTATTTTCATCCTAACCCCGGAACATCATTTGAAACATTTCACGGCTGTATTTTCATTCTAGATTGAATCAACTCATGTGCATGTCGATGGCTACAGTGCGACACCACCCATCTCCATTGTAGTGTTTCAAAATTTCCGCTCCTATTTTATTTTTTCATAGAGAAATCTGTAGATTTCAAGGCTTGAAATTTTTACAGAACATTCTGCTAATCGAGAAGGATGTCCATGAAGTTTTCAATTAATTGCATAGATTAGTTTTCTGAGGAAAAAATGAGGGATGACAGGAAATCTGCAACATCGCAAATGGAGACACCTTGTTTTGCAGTTCGGCCATCGATACTAACTTATAAAACTAGAGAAGCATTTGTTTATTATGTATTTAGAGCTGTTGCAGATTTATCTTTGTGTTTCACACTTTTAAAAGACCTTTTAAGGTCAATATCGCATACAATTTTCAACGATTGTTCTGTTTTCAATATTCTCTAAAAAATTCATGAAAAAATATCAGGCAATTATTGCACAAAAGAATAAAAAACGAGTTGACTCTTATTCTTGGAATACATGTATTTTTTACTTCATCCTAGACATGTAGCGTATGGAATTTTCAAACATGATGTCTAGAGTTCTTGACTATGCTCATTCCTTGATGAGGTATCAAAGTTTTCTCCCACTTTGCCGAGATTTTCCCAGGGAATGATTATACAACTATCCGGGGTTCCAGATATGAATATCGATTTATATTTTCATCTTTAAGCCGATTCTTTAATTCCAAAAAGGGCTCCTGATGTTTATATTGAAACTTCTCAATTTGACGGTTTAAGAAGTCAATAATTGCAGCACAGGTGCGATAATGTAAACTTTAATACCGATATACGTACTTAAAATTTCCTTACCGAAATTTATTTTAATACTTGAACAAACTCATTATTACTTTCACTAATGTTGATTAATGATTGGAGAGAGTTCAGATGAAGTTAAGGAGAGACATTAGTATCTGAACGTTAGAAGAGATTTCCGGTTTTGGAAACACATACCCTGACTTGTCCCCTAAGACATTCTTGTCCTTGAAGAATCCCGGGGCTAAACACTATCATGCAGACTCAGGAATACAGAGGAGTTGGGAAGTTTTGTCCCTTTATCTCTCAGACCAACGGTTTACGAGATATGCGCATTTTCTGGCTGAAAAAAACATCCACTCTTCATCATGATGAAAAATCGACCAGCACCAAAATTTTAAAATGTAACTTGGCCCTGTGGGGGGTGCAAAAGTAGTCACAGGAAAATAGAGGAGCTGGAAAATTTTGTCCGTTTTGCTCTTTGACAAACGATTTATTCGCATTTTCTGCTTGAAAAAAACATCCACTTTTCATCATGTTGAAGAATCAACCAGTACCAAAATTTTGAAAATTGAATTGGAGCCTAGAGGGCCCCAGACCTTATGGATCTATAAAAGCGGGCAAAGTAGTCTTGAAACTTTGGAAGAAGAGATTCCCAGTTTCTGTAACAGATTCTCTGATTTTCTCTGAAATTTATTTCATTCCCAGATTTTCCCGTTTTAGACATCACGTTTACAAAGGAGGTACCGAGATCGATTGGATGATTTTTTAAAAAATGTTCTTTCCCAGTTTCATAACAACTGATTTCTTCATTATTTTGATGACTGTGCATGGTAGAGACGAGTTATGTCCTTTTCTAATTTTCTTTGCCTACGAGTTTGAATCAGAATTATTTTTTAGTAATTTGGTTTGATGAATACTCATTTGTGATAGAGGATAATAAATCATTTTCTACGAAAATTTTGATTATGCTGGACATTTCTGAAGAGTCTAGCCCAAATTGTACCTTTAAATGAAGTTCAGTTACCTCTGGTAAAACAAGCGGAGATGAAATTGACAGGGTGCTCAACCTTAGCTGCTTGAAAGTGACTTGAGCTCCTTCATTTACATTTAAAGCATGTGAATAATAAATATGCTTCCCCAAAAATTAACAAATCTTGATTCTTTTACTATAGTTTTATATGATTCTTTATTCAAATGTTTAAGAAGGACAGAAAGAATACTTGAAACTAGATGTGATTGAAGACTAATTTATTGAAAATAACAGGTGGAAATTTCAATATTTATGGAAAGACATTTATTACCAAGACAAGGCAGAAAAACTATCTTCAAAGAGTGAATGAAAATCAAGTAAAATAATGTGAAAAAGGTATGCAAGAATAAAAGATGGAATAAAGATTCAAGATTTATGGAGGCTCTGAGGCACGAAAAAAAAATTCCACTTATATGGGTTGACATGATTACAAGGGAAGTTAGAAAACCTGTACCTGTCTCAATATCACAAGGGACAGGGTAGTTTATAAGAGAAACTGTCCCACTATTCCAAAAAAAAATTAACAAATGAAATGAGACTGAAATAAAACGAACAACGGTCAAATGAAATATGCATGAGACAATAAAATTACTATCAGAATTTTTCAGACATATTTGCATTATTCTTAAAGAATAGGGACATTCAACGATTTAAGATTTACATATGAAAGGTTAAGAGCTTAAAAATAACATGAAACGCATGTATTAACTCCAGCACAACAGAAACAAGAGTAATTTGTATGGGAAGCCAGAGATCCTGTCTCAAAATGGCAAAAAAATACGAAATAAAATAAAATTTTCATGAGATGGTAAAATTCTTTTCAGAAATTGTCTCCTTATTCTCTGAAATACAAAGGTATTCATGACAAAAACGGCAGCCATACTTAATGACAGCAGTACCTAGAAAGTACTCCGATATATTATTTTGGGACATTGATTTCTTGCAGATACCTTGTTGACAGTACAATAAAAATAAACTGAAGGTAAACTTGGGCGTTTTCTCTATTTTTGTAACTAAAATGGTGACATCAACTGTTAGTAATAAAATAGATAATATACAATCTTAATTTTCAATATACATTAAGTTTAGCATTTAGCAACAAAGAAGGATGGATGTACGTTCATAAGAGCGTGTTTCGCTGTAACTGAGATAAGTAAACTTTGAAGTGAAACTTTCTTAATGTACCTTGATCGACATGCTCAAGAAGATATCTTCTCCTACAAAGAAGGAAAAGCAGTGATTAAAAGAGGTAAGGCAATGGAAATAGAGTGACTGACAGACAATACATTTAGAAACAAAGACCCTTTTGAATCTGTTGGTTCAAAACTAACCCATTTGGGTGTGCTGCCATCAGCATGTATCATGTATGTCAGCCGTGTCGGTTTTCATTGTCTGTTCTTGTTCTCTCTTCAGCACCTCTCTGTCGAGTAGGAATAAACTGGTCAAGCTGGAATAATGTAGTTTTTCCTTAATTTTCCTAATCCCTTCCAATCATTCGTGTTATCAGAGAGCTACGAGGTAGTCCCTTGTGCTCCTTCTTTCTCTCCTGCTAATTTCGACTCCTAATCAAATCTGATCTCGAGTTGATGCTTAAGCTCTGTTGCCACATAATGCCAAAAAGTGTTAAAAAACAATGTAATTTAGTGATAGTGTTTCCTTTTCGGTGTCCACTCTTGGTGAGGCACCATGAAAGAACATGTGACAACAAATACGACGACCTAAACCACACCCAAGCAATCCTAATAACGAGATAAAAACTAGGAAAAACATTAATCCAAATATTAATACTGAAAATTACATGAAAATTCTTAAAACTGATTTTTCTCTCCAACAATTAGAGACCGCTGCTCCTATTTTTATTGAGTTTAAACGGTTAACCAACTCTCTGGCAAATCTCTACAAAATTCTGTAGAGTTTACTCAGATCTTAAACGCTGAACTTTAATCTATTAAAACTGCAGCTTCTCTTCAAGAAGAAGAAAATGGTCGCCGTTTTAAGGACATCGAGAACATTATCAGTAACTTTTAATCAAATGTCAACTTTACACTAGTTAACTCAAAAGATACTAGTGCAGTGAAAAACAGCACCGTAAACAAGGAGAAAGATAAAAAATTTCGACGATACTCATAACGTTAAGATGCATATAGTCTTAGAGGGCGCGCGCGCCCGGAACGGCTAGTAAAATACTTAAAAATCAGAGCCCACCAATCAACTTATGTAATCAATATAAACGAAATTATGCATGAAATGCATTCATGCACTTTGAAAATGAGTGACTTATGGATTGTCATAAAAGACATTATGTAAGTTATTTTATTGCAGATTTTACTCTAGCAAAAGAAAGACTAATGACTTTGGAATCAGAGGAAGGTGACGGAAACATTACGATTCTCCTATTCTTCTTAGTTCCGTAAGTACTCATGTTTTTCCAAGATCTTTTCGTAATTTCGATCGTTTCTTTGTTATCCCTCCATCTCTTGTTACCTGGAAGCACGGGTCTGTAATTCCTAGGATGTCATTCATGAAAGAACAGGTTCTTGTTATTTATTAGGCATATTCTTTCTGGCCCATTTTGTTGCATATATTGTTGTCTTTGTTATTTTTTTTATGTAATTGGGAATTGTCCCGTTGAAATTTGAAATAAAATAAAATAATATGTAAAAAGGTTTTGTCAGCCAACATTCACCTTTTATGTGTGCTTACTTTTTTTTTACTATCATTAAAGTATGGGAACATTAAGTAATTCTTATTTGTTAAACTACCGTCTTATGTATTTTTAGAGGCAATCAACTATTTTCCAGATTTTAAAATTCAGCCAGTACTGAAAGATTTTATCCATGGCCTCAGCAACTGTAATTTCCTCGAAGCGGTGAGACAGCACCCTGACTTATTCAAGCCGTTCTATCGACCTGCTGCTGCCCCCTACCAGCTGTTAAATATTACATGCTAATAATTGTATTAATCTTGCCAATTCCGGCAACCATGACTAACAATAAGACCGAGAGTATCATATGTATTTAGATAAAAAAATAAATTCCTCTCCCAGGACTCTGCGAGCCCGAGGTCGATCCCAGACCAGTCAACGCTGAACTCTTTGTCCAGTACCATTCGTTTATTAATAAAATCATGTAGTGTCCTATTTACGTTTCGACTCCTCACTCAAGCCCAAAAACAATATACCGTCACCGGCGACTAGCGAGTGGTAGCGAAGCTTGCGAGTTGCCCAGCGATCCAGCGAGCTCCGGGGGCCGCCAAACCGCTGGATTCTTCTTTGTAGTTACTTTGACGACCACCTAAGAACTCGCCCCTGGCCTATGCCGGAGCCTGTGACTTCTTCTGGGGTCTTATTGTACAACCATGGCTGTTATGTGATTAATGGTGTATTATTGTTCTGTGAAATTAAAAAATGAGAGTAATCTGCCAATACAACGTCTGCAACAAAGCAGAAAAAAAATCTGTTCAGCAGATCAGTTCCCATACAATTCCTATGACTCCAAAGCCCAACATGTCCTTTTCTTGAGCATTCAAAAATCAAAATCAAGACAGCACCCACACTCAACTCTCATCTCCAGACCAAACTTTCTCCAAAATCGAGGCAACACTGGAAGAACTCTGGTTCATGGTGCAACAGCAACTAAATCTTGTAACGGTACTCATCTCGTGCTTTCCAATTCAACCACAATGGATAATTTAATACAAATAGCTCATCTCAACATCAATGGACTGTGTCAAAAACGTTCCTCTATAAAATTAGACCTACGATCACTTCACATTGATATACTCATGATACCAGAGGCTCATCTTACCTCCCACTCCACACTTGGTGTTCGTGGATATACTTTTAATCATACCCCCCACCCTGGGGAACTCTACCCATGAAACCAATTATTGCCAAGGACCTCCTCAGTATGGTTGCTCTTGACTTACATGACCCATTGTCAGTCTCGAAAGCGAATTTTCCTTACATGCTTGTGCTTCTCAATGTTATTTCTATGATTGTTAAGCTTCATCCATTACGAAATGCAACAGGTGTTTTGGTTACCCAAAAATTTCTGCAAAATTATGTCAAAGTTGCTGGCAAACCTACTTGTGCTCCATCTGATAGGGGACCATGTTTTCGGTCCGACTATTGGAACAATTACCTAAAAGCTGCTGGCATTCTTCCAAAAAAAAGTTCGGTATAGTTCCCACAAGGAAACTCTGTAGAAGGAGTTATGAGAAACCTTGGCAATCTGCTGCGCATACACTGTCATGAAAAGCATAAAAGTTGGATAGAGTTCCTTCCCTTTTACCAGAAATGCCTAAATAACACTGTTGACATACAAAATGTATAGCATACATTTGGCTCCAGTAGAAAGCTCAGAAGGGAAAAAACCATTTAATTTTCAAGAGCCTTGTATTAAATTTCCACCTGTACCAATTGGAGATCGTAAGTTGAAGAAAACTATGCTAGAGCAAAGAACAGCTCAAAAAGCAGCAGCCTGTAAAGACTCCAAGTATAAAGTGACTGAATTTTCCCCTGGGCAAACTGTCCTATCTCTCCAATACTTTAGAAAGTAAATCGAAGAAAATATTCTGCTTGTATGATGGTCCTTTCAAAATCTCTGAGAAAGTGGAAGAAAATGCCAAGATTAATAACTCCAGACACAAATGAAATTGTTGGAATAGACAATGCATCGCATTTGAAGTCCATCGCATTCCATCTACCTCATTATGCTGTAAATCTGACTTTTAGTCCAATTAACCAAGACTGTCAAGCAGTTTGATAAATCTTGATATCTTCAATTTAAGAAAAGACATTTCCTTTTCCAGCCATTCATATTCTTTAAATAGTGGGCCCAAAGAGTTCGCATATTTTAGTTTAACCCTTTGACTCCTACGCACGACTTGAGTCATCCTTCAAAAATTGCACCCACAGCCTACGCCCGACTATAGTCGCTTCATAACTTCTTTTTGTATCTGCCGCTCTTGTTGAGTGAATAAATTCTCTTTTTGTTCTCCGCATCGCAGCGGATGCTGTAACAAACGCCTCTATTTTATCTACAAGTAACGTGAATTACGTGCCGCATGAGTCGCGTTTCAACACCGAGGCAGCAAATCTCCAAATTATTGTGGTTCCAGAAGTGGTGGCAACTGCCACCACCACAACAACGGCTACAAAAACTCCAGGCACCATAATGGTCAGCGTAACTACAATAATGGGGCTATTCATTGTTCCAGTCAAGGCAATTCATATTCTCGAGGTGCAAAGAACCAGGGTTCATGACAATGAGGTCGAGGTCAACCCTACGGTTGGAGCCGTGGGCCAAGATTTACCCGAAATCAGCATTCCGGAGCGAAAAACTCGAAAGGAGCCCCTGGTTAACCAACCCCCGCATCAGTGCATTTCATCGAAGCAACTACACCTGCCACACCCTAAGCTTGGAGCGTAAAACAAACTTTTTATATTTATGTAACATGCAAGACAAAAAATTACCCTCATTTTTAGTTGATTGTGGCTTAGATGTGTCTCTTTTGAAAGTAAATGCTGTTTCAGGTTGTCCATTTATCCAAGAAAGATGCATTTTAAAAGGCATCCGTGGCTCCGATCAGATCACTCTCACAAAAATTAGTCTCACAGATTACTCTCAGTAAAGTCCACAAAAACTTAAAATTTCCAATCTACGTTTGAGTCATTTCTTGCATGTTGTAGATGATAATTTTCCAATTTCTTGTGAACACCCACCCACGCGGCCCACGCCTCTCAGCGATAACTGAGTCTGTCTGACAATGATACCAGCTTTGCAGCTCTCGCCACCATTGAGATGCTTCAAAATTTTGCAGCTCATGAGAATACATCCACCCAGTTTTATTTATTTTTTTTTTTTTACATTAGAGGACATAAGTGAAGAATTTTAAAAATTGATGTTTGAAACAGCCGTGAAAACTAATGTCAAGGACTTTTTCAAGAAATTGAAGGAGTGCGAACCTATTCTTGGGTACTAAAAAAATGTCATACTGCGCATAACCCTTATAATGAGCGAGCGAGATTAAGGAGCTTTGGTACGTGATATTGTTAGATAAAATACATAACATTACAGCATATGGCTAATCCACCCTTGATCCTTTACTTGATTCTTGCTGTCAACTAGGGCTGTGCGAGCCTGGTTTTTTGGATTCGAGCCGAGTTCGAGTATTTTTTCACTAAGTCGAGCCGAGTTCAAGCTTTTTCGAGCTTTGAAAATGACCCTCGAGCCGAGTTCGAGTAATTTCGAGTTTTAAAACGTGATTTAATCTATTTTCTACAACAAATAATTTCAAACAAGACTCATAATATGATATTAATAATTATTGACAATGACACACTAAGTAGGAAGGATTTACACTAAAATTACAAAATGTTCGGCAGTAACGCGTTAAAATAACTTCCCGCGGTTTAATTTGAAAAGAGGACAAAACTGGGCAAGAAGCGGCGTGGCGCGGCGTACATCAAAGGAACTTCGGGCGGCACAAGTAAAGGCTTTAGAGCCCATTTATGCACGCAATTCGTGTCGCCGGCGGCAGTTGTCGCCGCGACGTTTTTTGGAATCGCACGATTCCTATTTTTGTAGCCGCAGCACCTTTTTTCTGCCGCCGCGACACCGTTTTTCTGGAGCGCAAAAGGTCCAAAACACGTGCTCACTTTCAGTTTTCCAAGCGGCGGTCGCCGCCGCATGTTGAAATTTGTCGTGCGCATAAATGCGCTCATATGACTCCGTGTAGTTACAAACCGCGCGCGCGGCAGGAAATCGCCGGGCGGTAGCGTGTTGGCGCTGCGGATGGTAGAAATTTGCCGACGAGACTCGCCTGATGTTATTCAATCTTAAAATGATGGCAAAACTAAAAATAGTTAAAGTATGATTGAAATGTTTCGAAGTTGGACTCTTTCGGCGTTTCCGGCTCAAAAAAACTTGAAATACTCGAAAAAACTCGTGTTGTTGACACTCGAGCCGAGTTCGAGTACTCGCTCGAACCTAACCTAACTTTCGAGCCGAGTCGAGTACTCGATACTCGGCTCGACTCGACTCGAAATTCGAGTACTCGCACAGCCCTACTGTCAACCATACCATATTTTATTCTTTCCTACTTATCCATTATCCATGCTTATCGATTATTCTCACTTACTTCTTTACTTTCCTTCCCACTTTGTCACATGGTCCCTAAATATATTCAAAATTATAATATCTCCACCTTTTTTGTGACTTGATCACACATCACAGATCTTAACATCTGTTGGAGGAAGTGGAGATGTCAGTTTCAAAAACACCTATCTATTTGTAATCTTTCAAATGAACCAGATATGCATAAATTGCTTTGTCAGTTAATTTAGAGGGTCAACAAATACTTCAAATCATCATCCAATACAACATTAATCATAAGAATATAAATTACACCAATTTTGTCCGCAAACTAGAGGAACATTAGATCAAAACAAACACCATAGTCGCATTACTTTGTTCAACCGAATTCAAACAACCAATGAATCCGTTTAACCTTTCAAAACAGACTTTGAATCTTTAAGCAGTACGTGCAATCTCAGTACTTCAAACAAATTCATAACTACAACAAGAGGGGACAGGATGATATGAATCTCAACTAAACCTTAAAATACAGAAGGGTGTTTTAGGCTGGGGCGCTTTAAAACCAGTTGCCTTCATCGTTTAAAGCAGAGCTGGCTAGTAAAACCTTCCACAAAAAATTGAGAGGCTGCTTGAAAAGAAAGTGCTTCTATTCAATTCTAGAATATGAAAACTTTAGCTGTAAACTTAAACTAGGGTAAAACTGTTTCATCTTACCATATGCATGCAATGATACTATTTCAACTATTACTATTACTGTTAATATTAGCTTATGACTTTTTCTAGTACTGCACAAGAATTTGACATGTATGATACCCGATGAGGTCCTGAGCACCAGAATTGTTAACGCATTAACTGCCGCGGTTTGCCTTATAATTCGCAGCAAGTTGACGGGCACAAAAAACTTGCAAGTATGATAGATATTGCTCTGAGGTAGCTGTAGCATAATTTCTCAGGTGTGACATAAAGTTCACATGTGCTATCTCCACTCAACAGTAATGATTTGAGAATGGCTTCCGCAAGTGTCGGTTCCAAGGTATCAGCAAGGCAGTTAACATGTTAAAATAAGTAAATAAAATAAAACTCCCGTAATACTCAGGATTATAAAAAAAATCGCATAAAATCCTATGAGTGAACTGATGGATTGTTCTAACGCAAAACCCGTTCTTTTGATATCCAATAAATCAAGTTTCTATTGTATCCGGAAACCTAATAAGTACATCAAAATAATGAATATCGAGCCTATTTCAAAAATGTTGGCACTTTCAATGATAGGTGCAATGATAGATAACAGGAACAGAGGAAATACTCACAGATCATCGGAGGCTTTAAAATCCAAGAAACAAAGAGTTATTTTCAAGCATCGCAAGAATTCAGGCGGTATATTACCGTTGATAATCCTGTCCACAGCATCGATATGGAAATAGTAGAATCCACGGCTGATCTGGATGTCATCTTTCGCTACTTTCTTTGCTAATTCAGCAAACACGGCCTAGAAATATGTTTTAAATTTAATGATAAATTAACAGTTTTCACCTCAAAGTTTTGGTAAAAATATTTCTGTAGCTCACATTTCTATTAGTGATTAACGACTGATGTGTTTTTTCAAGATCCAGTTTCATTGCACTGAAAACTGAGAAATTGTGTGCAATCTTTTTCTTCTTAACTTAAGAGTGGCACTGCAAAGTTGGGTAAACTTGTTGAAAGAAATTTATTCTTTGCTATTAAGAGTGGCGGTAGCCACCCTCGGTCGAGGAAAATGACGTCCTACTAATTTTCCAACACAGCAAGTTACTTGATATCCATTATTGGAGATGCATTTTAAAAATCCACAATTGACCAAAATTGGCAACAGTTGAGAAATTCTTTAATTTTTTAAACTTGAAAAATAGTTTATGTTTCTTTTTTACTGTGAACACAAAAATAGAGAAATATTCTTGGAAGTTGGATTTTTTTTTAAGATTTTCTGGATTATCTTAACATTGTTTTGGACACATTAACTTCCCCATATTTCGGCTTTCAGATTTTGTTTGGTGTAAATTGGTTGAAGAAGCAGCATGAATACAACATAAATTTTTTTTTTTCCCCGATGTAGTGTCTTCCGACGGTCCCGGGGCCTCTTCCTCGGGACTTCCGTAAACGCCTCTATTTTATGTGTGATATATATATCTGTAATGTAAACTTAATTAATACTTAGACTCTTTTTTATACATCTCTAACCTGGGCGATGGATATATCCTTGATATTTGCCGTCCTTTTATCGTATATCAAGTAATTAAGTTGTTATTTATATGCCTAAATATCTTTAACAATACTTATCTTATGTTATATACTTATCTTATGTAATATATGTAATATTTAAATACGATAATAAAGATAGAAGGGGAGTGTCCCTGATAAAAAAAAAAAAAAAAAAAAAATAAATTTTTTGTTTAAACGTAATAATAGATGGGTCTTCTTTATTTGTGATTCTCCAAGAGAAAAAAGATCTCACTTGCATGGAGACGAAGTTTTCCAGCGAGCTTTATGGTCAAAGGAGGGGTATCGATAAAGGCCTTTTTTGGCCCCCTCCTTGAGTCTGGAAATTTATGCGGGTTTTCCAAGTTGACTCAATGTTGTTTATGGAAATAATCATGATTTAGCCCATAGGCCACCGGATACATGTTTAACGGTTGCCTAAACATAGGCCTGCAGGCGTATTTTGGCGAAAATTCGTGTTTTTCTATCACTTCGAGGCTTTTTTGACACCGAGCGCATCGTCTAACTAAAAAGAGCTTTTGATATGTTCTTAAGGAGACTTTAGGGCACATTTTAACCATGGTTTGGTTTACGTTAGATGCTGCGCTCATAGTGACAAAAAACTTTTTACAAAAATCGACGTTTAAGGGACATCCTCAAAAATCTTAGGGAAACACGTCTCTCGAACTGTATGCACTCTATGCATATTATCGAGGGCAGTTATCAAGCCTCGTTAGACTCTTACAAGGAGATTTCCTTCAATTGTGTCCAGAAAAGAGGATTTCCTTTAATTGTAGCAAAAAAAAAAAACCTAACAACGTAATTTTCTATGATTTCTGCGAATGTCCCTTAAACGTCGACAATTGAAAAAGTTTTTTGTCACTATGAGCGCATCGTCCACCTAAAACCGAACCAGGGTTAAAATGTGTCCTAAAGCCTCCTTAATAACATATCAGAAGCTCGTTTTAGTTAGACGATGCGCTCAGTGTCAAAAAAGCCTTGAAGTGAAAGAAAAACATGAATTTACTCTAAAATACCCCTGCAGACCTATGTTTAGGCAACCGTTTAACACGTATCCAGTGGCCTATGGGCTAAATCATGATTACTTCCATAAACTGCGTTGAGTCAACTCGGAAAACCCGCATAAATTTCCAGATTTAAGTTGATGTTATGCTATTAGTGAAAATATGCCTCCACTACTCCAAAATCCGTTATCTTCACAGCTGTTTATATGGAAAATTCAATTTTTTTTGGACACAATTGAAGGAAATCTCCTTGTAAGAGTCTAACGAGGCTTGATAACTGCCCTCGATAATATGCATAGTGTGCATCCAGTTCGAGAGACGTGTTTCCCTAAGATTTTTGAGGATGTCCCTTAAACGTCGATTTTTGTAAAAAGTTTTTTGTCACTATGAGCGCAGCATCTAACTAAAACCAAACCATGGTTAAAATGTGTCCTAAAGTCTCCTTAAGAACATATCAAAAGCTCTTTTTAGTTAGACGATGCGCTCGGTGTCAAAAAAGCCTCGAAGTGATAGAAAAACACGAATTTTCGCCAAAATACGCCTGCAGGCCTATGTTTAGGCAACCGTTAAACATGTATCCGGTGGCCTATGGGCTAAATCATGATTATTTCCATAAACAACATTGAGTCAACTTGGAAAACCCGCATAAATTTCCAGACTCAAGGAGGGGGCCAAAAAAGGCCTTTATCGATACCCCTCCTTTGTCCTGAGCGCAGCAGCTGAATTAACTTGTCTATGTACAAGAATGGGTTGGAGGGAGTGAGGTTGCGTTTCAATACAATAAGTTTGAGTCTTGGAGAAACCAGATCAAAAATGATTGTTTTCTCTCAAAACTAAATTTTTCAACAGCAACCTTCCAATCTTGAAACTCTGGTTGAACTCTGGTTTTGTTCGAAATTTTTAGGGTTTTTTTTTGCCAAAATGTTTGCAGAATATTCCTATGATCTGTCTTAATTTTGGTTTTTTGGCAGTGAGGTCCAGCCTCCCTTTGACAATCACAAATAATTTTGAGTTACTCTTAATTTTGAATTTCTTTTTGTCATCTGAAAATCAAGGGAGGCTCCTCTACAGTTCCTCACCTTCGCATTATCCAGGAGCTTCAAAGAAGTTAAACGTTCAAAGATCGTGAGTAAGAATCGCAACAAACATTCAAAGAAAATTTCAGGTTTCTCTTTTTGGTTAAAAAGAATCGCTAGGGTTGATAATAAAGCCTGTTGGAATGCTGGATTTTTATTAGTAACTGAAAAATCTAGCAGGCCGAAGAGCATCCGAGAGGATACTAATCCAGGAATCAGAAGACACTCTGAAAACTCTGCCCACAACACTGCCATCATATTTGTTGTGGTGTCATCTTGGAAGGCTACCATGTGTTCTTTGATGAAGTGAAGGAGAGACAGATCCATATTGTTTCTTGCCTCTTGGTCAACTAGTTCTTCGAGCAATTTCTTTTCCGAGAGCAGTTTCATGATGCGGAAACTAGAGGTGAAAGACTGCAAGAGAGAAATAATGAGATTGTAAGATTCAGCTTTGAACACAATCTTTTACAGCCTTGATATGTAACAAATCCTCAAATAAGGGACACTTTGCATATATTCCTCCTTTAACACTAATGATTGACATCCTTCACTGGCATTTAAACTGTAACTATCAACATTTTTTAAAAAAATGGCGCTCCTCCCTGATTTCTGCTCCACATCTTACAGTGTTAAACTCACTCTCTCTCTCTTTAGTCACGCCAGACCAGACCCTCGCCTCCTTTCTAAAGCATGATGTCATTAAACAATGGCCCTTGAGCGACACATTAATACATCATCTCTACAAATAATCAAGAGACGAATTGTAATTTTTTTAGTTAGAAACTTTTTGATGGGTGCCGGAACTCTTGAGCAAAAAGAACTGAAAATGACTGAAATTATATATTTAAATGTCTAATTTACTTTAGAATAATAGCAAGTCATAGCTAAAATGATGCTCAAACCAGAGGAAAAACATGTTTACATTGTCAAGCACCAAGAGTTGCAAAATTTAAAAAGAAAGTTGAAAATGTCAATTGTTAAAATTCCTTGTTCCTCCAAAGAAGGAATGTATCTCCATTCCAAGGTTGGAAAATCTATTGAGACAATTCTTTTCTTCACTTGAGGATGACAGCGCATTTTACGTTCAAAATTTCACTGATTTCTGATGTTGAATCATGGAAAAATCTGTGAAATTTGCAATAATTATGTCAAACATTATCTGAAAAAAAAAATTAATACTGTGAAAAGAAATTTGGCAACGTTGAAATGAGGTTACGTTCGTTCGTCCGCAAATTAACGAATTGTGCACAGATCTAGAACACTCTAGTGGCATTGTTCCTGGTACTCATATGGAGCCAATAAATGTGGTCATTTTATCAGGAAAGAGCAGAAACGGCATAACAGTTGTTAAATTCATGACAAGTAAGACTCTCCAATCTAAGGTGACTGCTATGTGAATAAACTTACGGACACAAAAAAGACAGATGGATTTGAGGTGCACCGGTAGCGCATGCATGTGGGGAAGTACTGAAAACACACTGCCACGCAATGTTTCATTATATCTTCATTATCTTCTTTCTCTATAGCATATTTTACATGGTTGACCATCATTTCCAGACAAAGCTCAATCACCTAGAAAAAAAAAGAATACATTCACAAGTTGACTAACAGAAGGCAGACAGGATAAGCCATTGATGATTTCTATTACATTTCTCGAAAAACTTGACTTCATCAAAAACAGTGAACAATTTTACAGCCTGAGTCAAACTTTGAGTCTACACGGCTTGACGCACAACTTGTTTGAGCTAGTACTTTTGTGAGGATTTTGGATACTTGTATTGTTGCGTTCCACCTAGCCAACTACTAAGAAACCTTCAAGAATTTTGCAGGGAGAGACAATTTTTCCTGTAAAATTATTACGGTAGAATCTTGTCACTTTGAGTCTTTGCAAACTTCACAACATTTAGAAAAAGGGCACTTAATCAAAACAATTCAGAAATTCATAAATCACTGAGGTGCAAAAGTTTCGAGAAAACCAGTGCGACACTTGACCAAAGAGAGTAAAACGGCCACTCAGAGATACACTGGAACTGGTCCCTTTTGTAGTGTAGAAAACAATATTGATCCTCTAGAATGATTTAGAGTGTCAATTTCAGCCAAATTTACTGAAACAGTCTACAGTAACAGTCTGTCAAATTTACTGAATCAGTCAAGAAAATACAGAGAGAAAAATAAACTAAAGGAGCAAATGATTGATAAAATGATGAACTCTGGTTAAAATGTACAGACCTCCTGCCAAATGGTTATTTCGCTCAAAATCTTTGGTCCTGAATTAAATATTTGACAAAAATAAGTGACAAAAATCTCACAACCTCTAAAAGTTGTCAGAGGTATTTTGAAATAAGGATGCAAGTAAAATAATTTTCTTTGGATGGATGTCAGTTCTTCATAGTGAGCTGCAGAGCCCTGAAACCAAATTCAAACAATAGCCACGTTAATACTTTGAGTGAATGGGAGAAACAAAAATCTCAAAACACGGTAACACTTAAAAACCCAGTTGACACTAAAAGTGCTAGTGTTATTGTCAGGAGTTTCATTGGAGTAAAATAAATATGTAAGTCCTTGCCACCCACAGACTTGCTAAATGCAAACTTGTACATCCTCGAGCGGTGAATAGTGACCACTTTTCACCATTAGCAAGGATAGACTTCTGAGATCGCTGATGCATTCCAGCAGAAAGCGGATATATAATTGTAAGGCTATGAGATTCCTCTCTGGAGGCATTGTATATTATAATATGTTTCAATGTAGTAAGATTCAATCAAAAATTTTCAACTTGATTTATCAAAAATTACTTGCAAAACATTTTGTTATTCCAAAATTTTTGGTGTTTAAGATTTCTTTGCAATTTTTCCTGGCTATGAATAAAAAAAAGAGGCGCCAGGAGTCAAATAATAGCTCAAAGTTCTCACGGAAAGATTTGAATGATTTTCTCCTAGTCTGGTGCGGCCATGTTAATAGGATGACAGAGGGAAGACTCCGAAAGAAGATGCTTGATTGGGTTCTTCTTGAGAGGAGACAGACTTTTAACACGTTGACTGCCGTGCTGGTCATATCGACCGGCCTCGAAGGGTCCTGCCGGGGCCATGCCAGTCGTTTCGACCAGAACCCGGTCGCTCGCATTGCTAGGCTACTGGGAGGCTAGCGACCGGCGGAGCTGTGTATACGCTTATGGCTCACGACCGGCATGGCCCCAGCAAGAGAATGCACTACTGAATTTTTTTTGGTTTTGGGGGGGGGGGGGATTTTTTAATATTTTCTTTTTCATGGATCTTTTTCTTTATTATCTTTACTTTCAAGTACAATACAATTACAATAGTGTTTTACTCTTGGCTAAATATTAATTACAAACCTTAGAACTTTTATGCATTTTGAAGAATAAATTAAAAAAGGGGAATAACAATTGGGGGGGGGGGGATTTTTTCTCTTTCAACTTTAATTTTCTTTTTCGCTATTTTTTTTTTTTAAATTAGAATATAATTACAATCGTTGGTTTTTTACCTCACTATTAATTTTAGGCCTTTAAAATTTGGCACAATTTGAAAAATGAATTTAAAAAAAATGGGGGAACAATTTTTTAGGAG